TGAGGGCCTGAAAATGGCCCTCCATTTCAGGCTGAAAAGACTCAGGGCCTGGAGGGCCCTTTTTAGGCTGAAACGGCACAGGGCCTGTAGGCCCTTGTTTTCAGGCTTTTAGGCTGAAACGACACACAGCCTGTAGGCCCTTGTTTTCAGGCTTTTAGGCTGAAACGACAAAAGGCCTGTAGGCCCTTGTTTTCAGGCTTTTAGGCTGAGAACGTTGGTCGGGCCCTGCAGGCCCGTGTGGCTGCGCAGTATGCCACATCCAGACACCAGACACCAGGCCCGGACCCCTGTCTGGATTAATCCGGACGCCGATCCGGACAACCGGACATATGGACCCCGATGGTCTGGTTATGAATGAACAGTTGCGTATATCCGGTAATAAAAAAAAAGAAAAAAGAAAAAAAAAGGAAGAAAAAAAACAGACACACGCTGCTGTGGTTGTATTATCTGAATGATCTTGAACACACACACACACACACACACACACACACACACACACACACACACACACACACACACACACGCGCGCGCGCGCGCGCTGGGCAGACTGTCGGGGTTCAACCTCCTGGTGAGTCGGTGAAAGTCCGACGAAACAGTCTGGTACAGTCATGCTTTTTTTGAGTGTATAGCAAATATGACAACGCACACACACGCGCATGCAGGACTGCACAAATTGTCAAATAAATTTCCCGGGCTTACCCAGATCTACCGAGCTGCTCGACGGCGATCTCCTGGGCGACGAAGCTGAAGCTGGCGATGGCGTGGCAGGAGCAGGCCGTCTTCTGTCGGAGAGCAGTTGTGCGTAGGGCGGACGGCTGCAACAGGAACAACAGAGTTCGAAATGGACTCTTCCTGCCAGCGGGCTCCAACAACCAGTTCTCCTTGGCCCGCTGAAGCTCACCCAAGATTGCAAGTACAGGCCGTTCAGGACCAGTCCGGTTGGCCCAACGGTCCACCAACAACTGTGCCAACAGTTTTCGGGGGTCCGCCACTGGAAAATCGCCTGGGGATCCCGAAAAGAAAAATCGAATTTTCTAGAAATGGGGCCCAACCGGAGCCCCCAAACTGGACATCGGATCCGGACATCCAGACTGGATCGTCTGGATCCCGAGTAGATGGGAGGGCAAAGTTCAGAACCCAACTCTCCAGGGCGGTCCCCTTCTTGGCACCTACCAAGAAGGATGCCTAATCATCCCATTGCGAACGAAGACCAGGACGGGGAAATAAAACTTCAACAATTTCTAAAGGCAGACAAGGGGACAGGCGGTCCCCTTCTTGGCACCTACCAAGAAGGATGCCTAATCATCCCATTGCGAACGAAGACCAGGACGGGGAAATAAAACTTTAACAATTTCTAAAGGCAGACAAGGGGACATTACCCTCAAAGGCTGGGAGGGATACACCCCAGAGGCAAGGGGAAGGGGGCAGGAAGGACAGTTTGCAGATAAGCTGGGTGCGTTCCTCAAATCAGAATTTGAGCCAGGACATTAAGCAAGTACAAGCCTACAGATGGGTGTGTTTGGGACCAACGTTCTAGTTGTTTTTGTCCTATGGGTCTCGTCACATACATCTAACATGAAAGAACTTTACGAAACCGTTGTAGCACTCTGCCATAATCCCATTTCATGGACCACCGATGTAAGAACATTGCAAGGAAACATCCTCACAATGTTAGGACGTTACAGCCATTTTTGTAAGTACCTCTAGGAGGTGCCTTACATTGAAGGACCGCAAATAGTGGACCGTCGTCCACGCCTGTCAGACCGGCATGGTCAGGTGACTGTGGATGTCTGAGGCCCCCATCTTGGGTAATGCAGTAAATAGTGGACCGTCATCTGCGCCTGTTGACGGATGTTGCACGGCCTTCATCTTCGCTGCGTCTTTTCACCACGGTAACACAAGATTCTCGTGGAACATGGCGACCAGGGCAGCCATAGCTAGCCTGGGTGTAAAGCTTGTTGATAGAACAGGAGAGGTGAATGGTTCAAGCGTAGAGGTTGTATTAATCCCCTTCTTCAGTGAGATACAAAGCTTAGTATGGTAACGTGACTAACGTCGGCTCTCGCGACCTTGAAGCAGGCCGGCTGTATCCATACAGAGTGTAGGAGTAGTAGGCTCAGCTTTTAGTGATCTTTCCACTTTATTTGTCTTGACACAGTGGAAAGCTTCATTCTGCAGTGACTTTAAGGACTGGTCAGCTTGGTAAACTGAGTTACGAGGTAAAAATGAAGCAAGGTTCTGGCTCTCTTCTCACTTCTGCTCGTGCCGGAGCTTTGGCATCAATTAGGAGAACAACCGTGGTGTAACGTGGCCAACCCACTTCAACCGGAGATCATCATGAACGAGACGGTCCAGTCAGGCGCCCGCTCTCCTCCGCTTGCATCGAGTGCTTCAGATCTTGAGGAAGGCAGAGAACTAATCGCTCAGTGTTATGAGGGTAATATCCCTGAGGACATAACCTGAGGAGTGGAGAGATTGAAGGGCATGAAGCGACCTTTAGAGTAATTCCTGAATTCGATCAGATCAAGGTGTGATGGTTAAAAGAGAGAACAGTCGTTGTGGTTTTTAGGGATGTGGCAAAAGATCTGCGAAGAAAGGTGAAAAGTTGAAAACAGATTTCATTCCTGCCTTCGAGAATGGCTGGTCAAGAGACGGAGTATTTGATCCTCCTGCTCAAACGGGAACCATCAGATTTTAGGGACCGAACGTCCTGGAACTGTAGCCACTTGGCTGATCGAACAGAGAGAAGATGAGGTCTTCCTGTGAGGAATCTCATATTCTATATGAGCTTTAGACCTTGGATGACTAGACTGGAGTGGCAAGAATTCAAAAGAGTTGAGATGCAAAATACTTTTTGGGTTATGGCATTGCAGGCACCACGTGATGCTATAGTGTATACCAAGGTGGCGATTGGAAGGATTGTTGGTTTGATTACGAAAGACCATCCTCCTATGAGAGACCGCCTGATGACTGAACTGATGAACTTGAAGTATGATGTCGACCTTGAGTGCAGGGACAAGATGGTGGGCAGGATATGGGTCAGGACTGAAAATTGCGACATGCGTGAGCTAAAGCTAGTCTGCTCATCTGCTCCATGGTGTTGAAACTGCAGGGGCTTCTTTCATGAAGGGGGCGAGTGCACATGGAATAGAGTGGACAACAGGAACAATTAAAGGACTTTCAATAATCAGCAAAACATGATCACAATCGGAGGTATGATGTAGTGAGAATTAAGCTCAAGGCCCTGGCAGGCAGCAGCAGCAACCTTTAAGTCAACAAGGCAGAGGAAGAGGTCAGTATCAGGGTGATCTTGCCCCCAGTAGATCGGTGCAGTGAAGGCAGTCGGCTGGCGGGTTCAAAAGAGGAGAGGAGGTAGTGGACCAGCATCAAGATCTTGACCTCCAGCAAGAACATGGCAACAGGACCAACCCGCTGTTCTCTCCTGTAGCAAGATATCCGACTGGTTTCTCCAGAGGGGAAATGAACGGATTTGAGTTGATGGGCCAGTGGCGCAGCTGTGTACCTACGGGACAGTACGATGTTCCATCGGGCAACAAGAATGTAGCCGGACTCAACCTTGGAGCAGGAGCTTTTTCTCTCTGGAGGAGGTAAACGCAGCGAACAGAGTTGCACATGACTCATCTTGGCAAGATCAAAACAACAGATCCATGGGCAGACCTAGAGGCAACGAGCTGGTGATTTTGAGGGTGGGGACCATGGGGAGCACAAGGCCCTCAAACAGGCCCATCCTCAGGCGGACACCAGGACTCAAGGGGTAGATCCCCTCTCAAGGTATCCAGGAAAGAAGGGTCTGCTGATCCGGGCAAAGATTATAGCGGGGGAGCAGGTAACACTTTTGGGGTGGGGGCTGAGGGATCTCGTACCTCAGTGGCTAGTTCTAATAAATCACACGGAATAGACATGCAGATCGAAGAGAAGATGTCTTGGGACCGGAGAACACTTAATATAGGTAGACAGACTCAACAACTGGAAAAACGGCTGCTTCCCTCAGTGTTTTTACTCCAAAATGGTGCTATCCGTGTACTGACCTGCCCCTGCCTCTCTCCTCAGAATGTGGTATCATTTCTCTCTTCGATCATAGAATAACCGATCCTTCCTAATGGAATGTTGGCAGTAGTGAAGCAGAGCTTTGGTGAGTTGATCTCTCTTCGGCTGGTTCTGGAGATAGCCGTGCAAAGATTTTATATCGATTTAGGAGATCGGAAGATGAAATATCTAGTGACCTTGTTTGATGCTTTCGTCCCTCAGGATAGTTTGCAGGGCCTCACTGAGAACGGGCTTAGACCTCTTCCGCTTTCCCTGTTTCTTCAGAGCAGAGGTAGTGAGTTGGATGATGTGATGGTGGATCAGGCAGTATCCACCACGTTTTAGCAGGCTTGAACGGGGAACTTCCTACTAATAAGAAGCTAGATTCAAGTTTTATTCAGAGCATGCTTGCTCAGAAATGGCCGCAGAGCACCTCCTTGAATGGCAAAGGTGCTTCCTCATCTGGTGGCGCCACCATCCCTGTTGGAACGGACCGTAGCAGCAGCCAGTGACCAGCACTAACATGAGACAATCTTAAGATGGTCTCATGGAATATGTGGGGTCTGGGTTCGAAACACTCTGGACTCAAGTCATCCGTACACAAGCACAAGGTGCGGATCGTGCTACCACAGGAAACAAAGCTTGATGAAGAGAAGATAGTGGGTCTGGGTTCATGCAGGGATGGCCCACAATTGTGGGCTCCCGCAAGGGGAACAGAAGGTGGAGTTTGTATCCTCGTTCACAGACGATTGGACATGGCTATGGAGTTTGTATCCTCGTTCACAGATGATTGGACATGGCTATCATTGACTATGAAGTTGACATCTAGCGCAGGTGGGCGTGGCTGAAATTTCATAGGGACGGTGTGGACTGTGTCGTTATAACCGTGTACGCCCTGACAGAAATGTCTGATCGCATCAGTTTTTTCTCAGAATTAATGCTCCATATCCCAGACGTTGAGAATGAGAACCTTCTCGTGGTCAGCAATTGGAATTGCATATTTGAAGACATCAGTGCCACTGCCTCGAGGGCATCTGATATGTGGTCCTACTGGAGCACATGATAGAGCTGCAGTTAATAGACTCCTTCCGTTTCATGTTCCAAGCATAAAAGGGAGATACTTGGCTCTCGACAGCGAGAGATGGGGGAACTGCAGCCTGCCACCGGAGATTAGACTTCGTTCTCAATAGTCCACAGTGGAATGAAGCCTTGCTGAACGTCAAAGTAACTATGGAGCCGCTATCTGATCACAGCCCAATTCTAGTCCTTTCCAAGCAGACAGACTTGTTGGAAAGAGGCTAAGGTTATTTCAGACTCGACACACAGACTCTGAAGGAACCTGGTGTGACGGCATGGGTCAACAACTTCTGGTGAAGATGGGAAGGATCCAAACACAGGTTCCAATGTCGAGACGATCGGTCGGACATCGGGATATCCATTACTTCCAACCTTCTCAGTGTTTTGTCCCGGATTTGACAGCCAAGAGGAATCAGGAGGAGCGGGCGATTTGAAAGAGGATAGCTCAAGTGGAAGAGAATGTAGTTGCATCCAATTTCGGCTGCAGTATGGGTCGAAGAAATAGCCAAGCTACTTGAAAATGGGATGAAATGCAGTTCAAACAATTGAAAATATGGGCGGAGAGATTAAGTGTTAAAAGGTATAGTGGTCGACGATAGGATGTCAAGAGAGTCATTTCAAAAACTAACTCCAAAATAGGCTGGACAAACCATGAAAACTCTCCAGCATCCTTTTCTCGCATCCGCCAGACCAGCCGATTCGATAGAGGGTACGTGTGACTACGTGGTAGCATATTTCAAGGACATCCTGACCTCTAGAAGACCATAGGAGGGACCAGACCATAACTTATCGATGGGGACAAACTGTTGGACCAATTATGCAGCTAGACTGAGCACACTGGACAGACAAAGGCTAGACACACCCATCTCATTAGTAGAATTGAGAGAGGCGGCAAATGTTATGGCAAGAGGGAAGCCCCTGGTAAGGACAACCTCCTGATTGAGTTCTATCTCCAACACTGGGATGTTCTCTCCCCACACACTTGCTGATGATATACAATGATGTCCTAGCAGGTGAGCAAGCCACCCCACATATATCCTATGGCATGGTATCGGTACTCTACAACAAACGAAACAAAGCAGATATTAGGAACCTAGTTCGTTACCGAAACTCTCCTACAAAATACTTGGCCAAAACTCTTGCTAGGAGGTTAGCGGCCCCGTTAACCATCTGTTTGCCTTCTTTAATTGGTAGAGAGCAGGCCACATTTGTCCAGGGAAGGTCTAAGGTCTATGTTTGATGATTTAGTGACAGCATTAGAAGCCTTCGAAATCATTCAAAGCAACAATCTGGATTTAGCAGTGTTGTTAATTGATCTAGAGAAAGCATATGATCGCGTCAATTGGGCTTACGCTGTTACCATGCTGAGACACCTTGGTTTCTGTACTCGTAAAAGTTACGACGGGCCCACCCTAACGGCCGGACGCAGGCCCAATGAAAACCGACGGAGGGGCGTGCCGCCGGGGGCCCGAGGGAGGGACTGCCTGGGACCGAGCGGGTCTGGGCGCGGAGGACGGAGGTGGGCGGCGACGGTTGGCACGTGACGCGAAGGCGGAAGCGGGTCCGGCGAAGCCATGGGATGCGATGCTGTGAAAGCCCGGGGCGAGGCGGAAAGAATTCAAGTGGGGGCGGGAAGGGGAGGGCGGTCTATCCAGGGGTGCATTTCGATGCTGCAGGTGCACACGTTGATTGCCGCCGCGCCCCGGTCGACACGTACACGTGCTAGAGGGACAAGGAGACAAGGTTGGTGAGGCCCACGGTAACTGACGGACGCAGGCCCAACGAAAACCGAAGGAGGGGCGCGCCACCGGGGCCCCGAGGGAGGGACTGCCTGGAACCGAGCGGGTCTGGGCGCGGAGGACGCAGGCAGGCGGCGACGGTTGACACGCGGCGTTAAGGCAGCGGCGGGCCCTGCGAAGCCATGCGACGCGATGCTGGGAAAGCCCAGGGCGAGGCGGAAAGAATTTGTGTGGGGGCGGGAAGGGGGAGAGCGGTCTATCCAGGCGTGCATTTTGATGCTGCAGGTGCACACGTTGATTGCCACCACGCCCCGGTTGACACGTACATGCGCTAGAGGGACAGGGAGACAAGGTTGGTGCGTGGCTGTTGGTGCCAGTTGACGTGTGCGAGCATTCTACACACACACACACACACACACACACACACACACACACACACACAGAGAGAGAGAGAGAGAGAGAGAGAGAGAGAGAGAGAGAGAGAGAGA